TCCACTGTGGCGCAGGTTACGGTCAGGAGCCTGCACAGCGCCCCCATGTGGCCCTCTGGCTCTGCCCCCAGAACTCTGTGGGGCGTTTGCTCATGACGCTGCCTTGGGTACATGACAGTCTGCCCCAACCAGCTACTACTACTACTATTTCTACTACTACTATACTGTTTTTTGTAGAGACCTTAGTGTTAGTTTGGGTGGTAGACTGAAGGTGAGGCGGTCTACTGCACACTGAGGAAGTACAGGAGGTGTTTTGAGTGGACAAAGTGGACAGCTCACGTGGAGAGACATTAAAGTACAGCTGTGTTCACACTTCCACACAACAACAACAAACCTGCAGGGACCAGGGTTCAACCAGGAACATGCCGACATGGTAAACAGCTTCCCCAAAATGGAAGGAGCAGATTTTCACTGTCTTATAGTATATTCGCACGGGATTAGTTTTACCTGTGGACCTTTGGTGAATTGTAATAACTGTGGAGGATTCCTGAGATCTTAATCCCGTGCGAATGCGCAAAATTACACCGCAAATGACCTACTGTATTTTGCCAAACACGGACGTCCGGTGATAAAACTAGTCCCGTGCGAATCTGCGTCTCAGTGTTTGTTGTGGTAATTGCGCGTTTTCTCTCTCTTTCTGGTTCAGTCCTGGTCTCATCCTGGTCCAGTCGCCTTTCCACTATCTGCCCTTCCTATTTTTAGAGCTGATGTTACGACATATTCGGTCTTAATATCAGTAAAACAGAGTCATTTATGGACTTTGCTTATCCCGTGCGAATGTGCTGCAAGTAACACAGACGTTGAGCGGTAATTTACAAATTACCACACGTCCCCAGGTTGTACTTATCCCGTGCGAATAGGGCTTTAAAAACAAGAAAAACAGAGCTTCTTCATTTTAAAGGGGGGGTATGAAATTTTGGATCTCATTTCCTAGGTTACGTTTACACTGAAATGAATCACTGTATCAGAAACGATTTGCGTCCAGACACGTTGTTTCTATGTCTGCAACAAAACCTTCCCTCCACACAGTAACGTGAAACCGCCTGAAACTCTAGTCACACGACTAGGCTGGCATCACGTCGTCACAAAATCACGTGGGCAGTAAAAATAAGGAAGTGGAGCATTGTGTCTGAAGTTGCAGCAGCTGATTTCGAGCCGAGGAAAATGACAAGCGTGAAAATTATCTTTTCGTGGACCAACAACGAGGTTTAGTTTTTCTCTGGTTTGTTTAAACCAGACATGTCCAAACTATGGCCTGGGGCCAAATGCGGCCCTCAGACAAATTTTTCTTGGCCCTCAGGCTTCCAGGTGAATTGGCCCAAATTACCTTGCATCAATTAAAAAATATACTTTTTTTTACTGCAAGTTTTTTAAAAATCCGCCTTGATAAAGCCAATATTTCATATTTAGTGTGTGGTTTTAAGGATATTAGCATGAATAAAGACTGATGGCTCATTCTAATGTGTTAAACATGCACATATTTCAATTATTCCCTGTACTGAGCATCAGTCTGTGGCCCTCGATCAGCCCTCTGCTTCGTCTGTGTTTAGATATATGGCCCTTGATGAAAAAAGTTTGGACACCCCTGGTTTAAACTGTTTTCTGCAATAGCGTCACATGACCGATGTCACAAACCCAGCAAATCAGGAAGGCACACGACATGTCCAAACTATGGCCTGGGGTCGAATGCGGTCCTCAGGCAAATTTTTCTTGGCCCTCAGGCTTCCAGGTGAATTGGCCCAAATTACCTTGCAACAATTAAAAATTAACTGTTTACTGCAAGTTTGTTGAAAATCTACCTTGATAAAGCTGATATTTAATTAATTTAATTTAATTTAGTGTGTGGTTTAAGGATATTGGCATGAATAAAGTCTGATAGCTGATTCTAATGTGATAAACTTACACATATTTCAATTATTCACTGTACTGAGGACCAGTCTACGGCCCTCGATCAGCCTTCTGCTTCATCATGTGGCCCTTGATGAAAAAAGTTTGGACACCCCTGGTCTAAACGAAAGACACTAATGATGAAATATCCTCATGTAAACAAGCCCTTATTTTGACCTCAAGAGCTGCTCATACGGTTTATCCGTATTGGGGCAAGACAAATTTTGTTTAAATATTTCGAAAAACAAGAGCACAGTTGCCTTTTGATGTTAACCTTGGACCTACAACCTCAAAGAGCTCAGTCAGAACTAGTTAGACACATTAATCATAGAATTATCCATCATGTTTTAATTCAATAACAAACATTTCATTTAGAGGCTACCAGTCCATGTGTAACCTTATATATAACCTTATCATTTATCTATCTAAACATATAAAAAAAATATGAATATTATCAGATTAAGTCACAGACATAATGAGAATTTCTTCATTCTGATTCTGAACCAGCCCGCACCATCAGGAGGCTGGTCCTAATGGCCCAAAGTTGTCCTTAAATCACATGGTCTGGTCTGGTCCTGGTTTAGTCCTGGAGGAGACCAGGAGCTGCGACAGGAGAACAATAATAATAATAAATCTTTATTTATAGAGCACTTTTAAAAACAAGTTGTACAAAGTGCTGTACGCTCAGCACAAAACAATCATACAAAAAGCATAATCTTACAAAGTTACTGTCATCACAGCGGACTTGACCTTGGGCGCCGCTTCTGCCTTTGGTCCAAAGAAGGGGACAGACTTACTTTGGCCTCAAAGTATTGACATAATTGCCCAAACTTTCAAATGGATTTTAAAAGGATTCTCTTGGACTGTCACTTTAGTTGTGATCTAACATGATTTGAACATTTGCGAGAGGACAAAGTGATGAATCTAACTCGTGTAGTGTAATATGAGGCGTTTCCCTATGAGTTTCATCCATCACTGTCTGTGCTGGACCCAAAACAAGAGCAGCACGCAGGTTTAGTCTGAGCACCGCCACAAAAGAACAGGAGCTGAAGCTTGTACAACAGCAAGAGCGCAGGAGGGAGCGTGAGGAGTGACAGGGAAAATGATTATATCTACAGGCCTATAGGGGAGACACGAGCTTTTACATAAGCTTTTCAAGAAATGTACTTTTTACTTCAGCTTTAGTCTGACATCGTCTTCCAGGTTCTGATTAAGACCTGGTTAAGTCCTTGACTGTTTCTGGTTTATGGAACTCAACTTAAAGCTTCACTGTCTAACTTTTTGAGGGTAAGCTGGCACATATTTGTCTTCTTGTCCGCGTAGAGCTGTTAATACTCCGTGGAACAGTTTAATTAAAGCATTAAGAGTTCCATGAAGACAAACAAAAAAGTTACACAGTGCAGGTTTAACTTGAATATATTTCTTCTCAGTGCAGCTGCAGTTAATCCAAGTTCTAGTCTTTGGTGTGAGATGTTTATAAAACCGATTTGACCCATTCAAATGACCTTCTCAGGAGCACTGGGCGACTACAGTGTCTAGATCAGGGGTCTCCAACCTGTAGCTCTCCGTTCCCTTCCAAGTAGTTCGCCAAGGGATTTCGAAATTATACCATTGCACAAAAAATCTGGTTAATTCCCTGCCTGTAAATGTACTGTTGTAAATGTATAGTTTTGAAGCCCAACTTTGTGCATTGTGGACAATGGTTTATGTTTTATAGGCGACTCACTGTTCTCAAAGACTGGCCATCTTTCTTATAATCATCTCAATTTCTTATGGACGTTAAAATGAGCAGCTCTCTGGCATTTTTGTTTTGTAAAGTTGCTTACAGGAGGAAAAAGATTGGAGATCCCTGGCCTAGGTCCTGAGCCAGGATCTTGTCAGAACTACCTAGTCAACTGGAAGATTAGCCAGTAATATTTGTTTAGGTGGGTAGGTGAAAGTAAAATCCCGAGCCAAGAAATCCGGATGAAGATATTGTCTGACGATCTGGATGGACCTACAAGTGGGTCCGGTCAAGCAGGGGCAGATTTTTTACATTCAAATGTCTCTTATTCAGAAACTAGAGGGACTATTGAAATAAGTAAAGTATCAGAATGTAGGAAAGAGTTACACTCCAACAGGGTCAAGTTAAACCTGTGATATTCTTTCAAGTTGTTGACAAAAAATTAAAAAACTCATGTCGGTAACGGAGGGAATGAAATATGCAGCACTTTTTGGGTAATAAATCCAAACAGTGATAACTCTTGGTTCTCACTTACATATCCTTAACAAACTGGTTTGAATATTTGCTTCATATAGTTTTCTACCATATGGTACAAGATTAGGTTGAAAAACCTCTTACTTTTTGACTCATGAGATTTTTTATGAAGAAAGGTCATGGTAACGGAGGGAAAAGTAACGGAGGGAAAATTGTGCAAACAAGTAGAAGGTGCAGGATTTTACATCATTTGTCAGCTTTTTTCTTCTGAATACTTTAATATTACTTCAAAATTAAAGGAAACTATTTCTATAAAATATGTCAGTCCTTCCAAGCAAATTTTTATCATTTTAAATACATAAAAAAAAAAAAAATCATGTCCCTTCATCAACAGTTCAAAGATGGAATAACACAAGATATGATGAAATACATCCATTTATTTACATGATTTGCAGGTCTTTGAAATTTGGGAAATAATTTTTGTTCCATGTTTCATACATGGTCTGTTTAAAACATATGTAACTTTAGAACCAAAAATGGTACAGAAAAAAGGTCAACAGTTTGATAAACTAGAGTACATATGTATCTGTTCAATACATTTTTATATCAGATGCATTAACTTGAATGTTTGGCCTTGTTGTTTACTTCTGCTTGACCGTGCCCTTACATTATGGAAAATTCACTTTAGGTCATGAAAAAGTCACGGAAAAGTTTTGAAATTTTGTCAGTGAAAAAGAGCGGGAACCCTGAGCCAATCAATAAACAGTAAACATACATGATCATGATTCTAGACCTTAAGCTCTCCACGCTGCTGTCCACTTTGTCCTCTCTGTTTTTATGTGGGTCTAGTTTCCCCTCTCTTCTCTCCTCCCTCTGCTCCACCTCTCCTCACCTCTCCGCTGTGCCCTGTGCCCAGGCTCTGAGCTCATGCCCAAAGCCCTGTCCACCCGCATCGTGGGGGGGATCTGGTGGTTCTTCACGCTCATCATCATCTCGTCGTACACGGCCAACCTGGCGGCGTTCCTCACCGTGGAGAGGATGGAGTCGCCCATAGACTCCGCGGACGACCTGGCCAAACAGACCAAGATCGAGTACGGCGTGGTGGAGGACGGGGCCACCATGGCGTTCTTCAAGGTGAGGAGCTGGGAAACACTTCAGAACTTTGTAGTCGTGAGCACATTTTGGTACAGACCTGGTTTAATACGTACAGTCCGTTGGAGAAAGTTGAAGTTTCTAATGCGTTTGGCTGTGGGGGGCATTGCAGCGCGTTCTGATAAAAAAGCTATTTGTCATTTTACCGAACCATTAACGTCGGTGTAATTGCTCTCATGCTGTTCTTATGTGAGATTTGAGTTCTTTATTTTCTTAAGATGGATTTTCGCAGGACGTTTGAGTTCACATATTCACCAGAATCAGTCACGAGCAACTGTCGCGTTTAGACTGAGAGCTCCAGGAGAATCTGGGTGTCATTTGTTTGTTCGCTTTGAGACCAGGACCAGGACCAGAGAGGGACCAGACCGGGACTGAGACTGAGGTCAGGAGGACTGACCAGGGACAGAAACAGGAATGAGACCACGACTGAGACCAGGACTGAGACCAGGACTGAGACCGGACCAGGACCAAGACTGAGACCCTGGGACTGAGACAGACCGAATGGACTTTGGTCAATTTTATCAAGGGGAAAGACGTTATTGCCCTTCTTCCTACGGGATTTGGCGCATTACATACGTCACGACCAAAAAGCAGCGATTGGTTAAATATAAAAAAAGTACCTGCCTACTGTCGAACGAATGAATCCTAATGCTGCGAGGTCAGACGGTTTCCACAAAGTGAAACCCGCTGATGAATCAGGTTAGTTTATTGCACCTTGTGATGTCATGACGGGGTAATCCTCTGTGTAGTCCATATACCTTCAACAGAGGTGAACTTTGGAGCTATTGCAAGTAAAGTTTTAGCCTCATTTCTTGTGGTGTGTGTGTGTGTGTGTCTGTGTGTGTGTGAGTGTTTGGTGGTCAGAGGCAGCCTCGCTTCTGTCAGTCTGCCCCAGGGCGGCTGCGGCTCCACTTGTACTTCCCCAGCAGTGGAGTGAGAGTGGAGTGAATGAATAATGATCGCGGTGTAGAGCTCTGAGTGGCTCTGACAAGTTTGTAAAGTGCCTTACAAGTGTAGGACATCTTTATTATTATTTTTATTGGCCGGGACAATAACTATCGCAGCACATCAAACTGATCTCTGAACACCTGCCATCCGTTTATTCTAGAAGACACTTTTAGATTTGCTGCATTTGCTCTCTCTGTTGAGTGTCTGTGCTGGAGAACACTCACTCCCATCTGAAAACTGTCTCTGTCTCTCTCCATCTGATAGTTTACTCGATTAACAGATTGATTATATAATATTATAACCCAAACTGCACATCTTTAGAAGAACGGGTCAAATGGGAGAAGAAGTTGCGTATATGTTTTATGAATTCTTTCCAAAAGAGTCTGGGCAGGTCCAAAATAAATGAGAGGTGGTTTCATTTTTCAGTTTGTGTCCATTTCCCTTTTAAGATGATTGTTCAGTGGATAACAGTGAGTTTTAGTCCTGGTTTTAGTCCCGGTTCAGTCTGGCATCGCAGTTTAATTCACGAAAACAGGAAACAGTCGTTATCTGTTTTTTTTCCATTTGTTCATTTAAACACAAAATTTTCTCACTTTGGTTTTGGAGACAAATAATGAAGAAAATTGTTTTTGTTTTTTTTAAGGCCGGGCACGTTAACGTTTTTGCGTTAACTAATTAATTCATGATCGCCGACAATTATTTGAACACCGTTAACGCAGTTTTTATTATTATTATTATTTTTTTTTTTTATTGTAAATGTCTGTTGCTCACTGGCTTTTTATTTTGAAAAAGTCCACCGTGAGCTTTTCTTAAAGTTTGACGTCTTTTCTTTACACTTTTTTCACTTTTTTCTGACCACGTGAGATGTAACGTGTCCAAACCGCGAGCTCCAGGCTCTGGTCGCGGGCTTGGCCGTGGGCTTGGCCGTGGGCTCCGGCTCTGGCTCCAGCTCCAGCCGGGCCGGACCAGCCGTGGGCTTTGAGCTTCTGTCCAAATCGAGGTGTCCAGTGCGGTTTTTCGTCGCTGTGGTCTCACTCACTGTTACGTCCCCTTTGCTGGGGGAGAAAGGGAAGTAACAATAAAACCAGGATGTTATAGTTTTAACTAAAAATTGTGCATTAATTATTTACAGTGTAAGAGAAGAACAAAAAAACAAACAAACAAAAAAACAGGCAGTTGAGGTGAAAATAAATAGGAATTAAACAAAATAATCTAATAAACTAAAGAGCCCTAACTAAGTACAAGGTAACAAATCTAACTCAAGTTGTACTGCGAACAAAAAGGTGTCTCAAAGAACTAAACGAGGCAACAGCCGGCAACAAAACACAAAATGAGACGACCCAAAACATCAAACAAAAGGGCGAGCTGGCCGCAGTGATCGAGCCGACTCGAACAGGCGGAAGATGGTCCTGTTTAAACCCCCGCTACCACAGATGGCATCCGCGGACTGGTGGGGGCGGAAGGGTGAACGGTTAATTGTCCGGCGTCTGGTTCTCCCACGCATCCGGGTCCAGGGCTCCTGGACGAGCCCCCATTTGTTATGTCCCTTTCTCCCCTAGCAAAGGGGAAGTAACACTTACATAAAGATATTACAGGGTATTGTGTGAAGGCCTGGAAGATTTGGTGATATGATCCCGTCCATAACTCAATGAAATCTGATTGGCTCAGACAACTGTCAATCTCATACTTCGATCGAGCCGCCGAAGCTCCTGCAGGTGTTTGTTTAGTTCAGCGCTGCAGGGGGAGTCACTGATTTACCCAGATACCACTGGAAGAAAAACTGTGATTGGTCCATTTCCATTCCATTATATTAACCCTTTGTTTCCCAAGACGTTCATAACAATGATCTAGAAATTATTACTAGCAGTAGCATTTATATTAATAATATAAATATAATATAAATATTTTTTCTTGAGCCTTCTGAATACTTTGAAGTAGAGATGCACGGATGGACTATTTTTTCATCCGCAACCGCGACACAAAACTCATCATCTGCCCGCTGTCCATTTGCACCCAAAGTTTTGACCAATTTTCAAAGCCGCACTCACCCGCCATCTGCTCATTGATTTTAGATTTTAGAACAATCATATAGCAAACAAACTAAGGAGCCTCGATAAAAATGCAAACTCTATAGCTCATTCATTCCAAAATTCGCTCAACGTGCATGTTTGCATTCTTCGGAACCTCACCGTGAGTGCTTGGGCTCAATAAAGGCGCCAGTTCGTTGCTCAAGAATCGTGGCTTTATTTGCCATGATGCACTAAATAACAGGGCAACTGCTTCCTGACACGTGTACGATGCGCAGGCCCATTCAAGAAGCGCTTGCCTCGTGGACGCGCATGCAGTCACTATAAACACTGCACATAGGAGTAAAGACGCATATCTCATAACACTTAACAATATAGGCTGTAATATATATATTTTTTAATTTGAGTAGTTAAACCGCCACCCGCCCGAATTTTATTAAAATATTATTTTTCGTCACGTCATCCGCCCGACCCGCGGTTTATCCACGGACACCGCAGCTGTAACCGCAATCCGCGCATCTCTACTTTGAAGGCACTGAGGGGTTTCCTCTTAAAGGTTGTATAGAGGATTTTTTTAAGGGAAGAGAAATACAGCGACAGTCCTTGTGCGCGTTCAGAATTACTGTTGAAGGTTCCTGTCTAGAAGTAATTCAGCGACCGACGCGTCAGTTTTAGACCCTTCGTCTGCTTCGGTCGCGCCATCGCTGGACGAGATCTCCAAGAATCACCTCAGTTTGTCTTCGCTCTTTTTCTCCTTCTTCTCTTCTTCTTTCAGCGACCTCAAAAACGGACTTTCTTTTGCGGCGAACCGGTCGTGGATTCTCGTCCGCCGTCGCGACAAACTTTGTGCGAAATGCGAGGAAGCAACGTAACCACGTAATCCTCGCGCTCCGACAAGTCAGTTATACTAGGGAGTTTGATTGACAACCTAACAGCCAATAGAAAATGAGGGAGCCTCGTTTTCTATTGGCTGATGTTTATCTGGCCTCAACACGTCCACAGTTGATAGATTTTCGTTCTTTTTTTTTTTTTGGTCATCATAATTACAAAGCTGCTGCGTCTCTGTAATGATATTTAAATTTTTCACTGACAGTTTGAAACTAAAAAAAATCTTCCATACAACCTTTAAAGAAATGTTCTCTGTTCTCTTTCATTTACATTTCCAATTAAAGTGTGCTGTAAGCTACTTTTTAATTCATGAATTGGTTTTGCGTATAACACTCGAACTCATGTGATTATTATTATTATTATTTATTTATTTATTTATTTTTTTTGCCCAGCCCTAGTTTTTTCATTTTCTTATTTTTGGTTTTATATTGAAAAACGAATGAACAAACACGGGTTTAGAACACTGACTCCCATCTGAAATCTCCCTCTCCGTCCTTGCCCTTCGCTTTATTCTTTCTCCTCTGTTCATTCATTCACTGGCTTCTGTGCTGGAAAACACCGACTCTCATCTTAAGACTCTCTCTCCGTCCATCCCTTTATTCTCTCCTCTCTCCTCTCTTCACTTCATTCATTGATCCCAGTGCTGTAGAACATTGACTCCCATCTGAAAACTGTCTCTCCGTCTCTCCCGGCCCATCCCTTTATCTTCTCTCTCCTCCTCTGTGTTCACTCGTTCACTGGTGCTCGTGCGGATGAACACTCTCTCTTCCCGGGGAGCGGTGTGTTTTATGTGGGCTCCGCGCTCGTCTCCACACTGGTGCGTCGCCGTGGAACATGTTTAGCTCCATCTGCTCCGAGCACTTCCACAGACTGAGGAGAGGCTCTTTATCCCTGTGTGCTCTCCCATCTGCGCTTTATTAACACAGACACTGCAGCGGACCAGTCGCACGGGCTTATGGGTAATGTATTTCTGCGCACGCCAATGCAGAGAGACAGCAGGGACGGCGTCGGAAAATAATTAATATGTTTAAATGGACCAAAAGCACTAAAGCGTAAACAAATAAGCTGGAATTGTGGGACTATACCTGCATGAAAACAGAATATGATTATTTTTTTAAC